GCCTCTTGTTTAAACAAGTCTCAGCTCGCTATAGAACTGTCTTCAATTTTTTCTCGTGCAAATAAAAATGACAAATTTTAACTTAAAAAACATTGATAAACCTTATAATACATAAACTATAAAAATACTTATAAATAATAAGAATTCGTAATAACTTAACAATTGTTGAAATTCCCGAGCTTTTTCAATACTGTTCTTATTCAATACTGTGCTGAAATATTTCCAACATTTTTCAAAAACTGGCGATTTTGCTGCTTATCCGTTATAGCACAAAGATCCGAAATGCGTCCCCTCGGACGCATCCCATAATGCATCCCATAGGATGCGCAAAAAAGTTGTTATGCATCCCCTGTGACACAAATAAAAGTAATTGTGTACCTCTAACCCCTAAAATGAGTAAAAATCGTGCAATTCTAGATCGTCAAATTTTAAGGAAATTTATAATAGGAAAAAACAAGCAGAAAAACCAAACTATAAAAAGTAAAAAATAAACAAAACTCCTTTTTTTTAAATTGCAGGGGAAAATAAAAATAATTCTGATAAGGAAAGGTTCACAAGACAAACTCATGGAATTAAATGAAATTTTCACAGGTGTTCGAAGAACTTATAGATAAACTATATCCGAAAAATAAGTTGTTAATTTGCATTAAGATAGAATAAAATATTATTGAAAATCGGGTTGTGGTTAAAAAAAAAAACATATTTATCAATGATCGGCTATTTTTTATTTCCATTAAATAAAATAATGAATAGAAAACTCGCACACAACATCCATACAACGAGGAAAATATTTATCTGTTGTGACAATATTATTTTAAAATCACTAATGTTTTAATTTTTTTTAAAATTAGGTTTAAAAAAAATATACAATTCTACCATCAAGGTTTTACAACATAAAAATAAAATAACGTCTTCTTAATTTGTTTAACTTATAAAGGAAAAAAATGATAAAATTGACCAATTTAACTCAAAAATGGTCCAGTCACCATTTTGTACATGGAGAGTTTTCCCCTGGTGGAGTATTTATCTTTTTTAATTAACATTAAAAAAGATAAGAAGACCATGTTTGTGCCATTTCATGAATTGTGTTTCAAATGTAGTAATAGTTAATTTTACGTGGACCAACTTATAACTTTTTAATAAAGTGTTTTGACTTAATGCTTCGATAATAATAACAATGATGATGATAAAATTTTTTTATGAGTACTTCTAAAATAATAAATACAAAACTATTTCCTTATAGTTATTTTTTTTAATACTACCTATTTATTTAACATAAAGGTAGATTAGCAAAGATTCAATGATATTTTGAAACTATTTTTTTTTCAGATTAAGAAAATTTAATAGTTGGTATCAAATATAGAATTTAAGTTAGTCAAATATTTAAATATAAGTGTTTTTGAATGAAAAAACATGTTTCGTGAAAAGTAACCCAATGTTTTAATTACATTTTAAATTTTCTATATATTCTTTTGAATTGCGTTTTTAAAATTTTTTACTGAAACTACTCGTTTTGGATTTTTCTTTAAAACTCTTTTTAATTTTTGCAAAGATTAATCTCAAAATCTGTGATGATGATCACATGATTAATGATGTGATCTTTTTTGTCCTTATCTTCATTTATAATGACATTTCGTAAAGTGTTTTTCCTAGCAGGAGCAGATGGAGTTTTGATAAAGAACCTTTACGTAAGAAAAAAAAGAAGGAAAAAAAACAATGCACGTTTCAGAAAAATTATTAAATATTGCAATTGCAAAGCTTATTGCAAAATTTTTCTAATGAAATATATTGCAGAAATTTTCTAATAGAAATAATTTATTAGCAAGAAAACTACAATGTTTTATACACAAATTCCCTTTTTATTCGCATATAGTGACTTAAAAAACTTGATAAAAGTTATTCATTCTCGGAAAAAACCGTTATGAGTCAAATAGGCTATCTATATATATATTTCTCTTACACGGCGATAAAAAAAGCCTCATTACAACTCCCCGAATGGCAACGCTAGAAAATCGACCAATGATTGCACCTAAAAATGTCACATGCCAAATCTAGCTGAGGTGGCTCAACATATAGCGCTTTTAAAAACGGAAACTGAAATAACCTGAGAGAGCATCAGCTGTGGTAATCTCATACTGTTAAGCTAGGCAGAAGTGAGTAGTCTTTGTCGATAGATCTCTATTTTAGTATTTTGTCGAAAGCGCTTTTTTTCACGAATTTATATATTACGAATTTGTTTGACGATTTTTCGTTTATATCACGAATTTATTACCACGTTTATATAAACTTGCCTTCGTGTATGTCTGTCCGGGTGGAATTTTGTAATCGATTTTAAACTAACTTCCCGACTAGCTACAAACTTCAAATTTAGCACACAGTTCAGAATTGGATGATAATGCATGAAAATGAAGAGAAAAAAGACATGCAAAGTAAAATAAAATTAAAATTTAAAAAAAAAATTATTTTCGAGATTGTCTTTTGTTGTCGATTCCATTATTTCAAATTATTACGTGTCAGGTGAAAAGATTTTTGTTGTCGGAGTATTTTTATTGGCTGAAAAATCACGTGGTAGGATCCAGTTTTTCCTCATTCATTTCCAGATTGTTTTGGTTGTCATCAGCATAAAACTAATGAAAGTCGTAAAGGTATTGTTTTTCTATAAAGATTTTTGTATCCCTAATTTAAAATAAAAGTTCTATTACTTTAGTAGTGGTCTTGTAGTAGTCTTGACTACTCTTGACTAAGAAAAATAATCTAAATAAAAATATATATTTTTAAAAACCACGTTTTTTGTAGTGAAGAATAATAATTAAAAAATAATAATTTTTTAAAAATATAAAATAAAAATTAAAAAAATCATAGTTTAAAATAAAAAAATTCAAAATAAAAAAATTCAAAATAAAAAGTAATATTTTTAAAAACCACGTTTTAGTAGTGGAGAATAATAATTAAGAAAAAAATTGAAAAACGAAAAACGTGGGGAGCATGAAATACATAACATACACATACATATACACATTTTCTTACTCATACACATGCACAGCTACATATACATCCACATACATATGCATATACAAAAGCATATTCCATATCCACATTCAGATACAATTACAATTACTGATATACATACACATATTCTCAAGAGCACACATACACACACTAATATAACATTACTGTTATGTATTTCATGCGCCCCACGTTTTTCGTTTTTCAATTTTTTTCTTAATTATTATTCTCCACTACTAAAACGTGGTTTTTAAAAATATGACTTTTTTTTGTTTTATTACTGTTATTAGTTATTCATTGAAAAATGAGTCTCAGTCGTGCTGTTACGCTTTAAGATTTTATACTATAGCACATTTCTAATAGGTTTAACGAATTACATGTCATTTATTTGAATTCAAATTTATTTTTATGACTTAGTATTTACTAAAAAGATGTAATTTTTTTTAAAAAAAAAGTTGTTATATGGATTTGAATGATTGTTTTGAATTCTTAGAATTTTGTGCATTTGCAATGTACCTAAGTTAATAGCGAGCGAAGCGATCTTGGTTTGCGAAGCAAACCATATAAGATTGTGTAGCAATTTTCGGGGGTTTGCGAGCATTAGCGAGCAGGGGACGCAGCCCACTAGTAGAGGTAAATGCTCTATACTTTCATAAATAGCGGCATAATTTGACAATGTGTTCAGCAATGCGCACATGCTGTCCTTACTTCTGAGAAACGCAGGTACTCATCGATCTGTAGCTGGGCGGGCTTCAGGCCACCTTAAGAAATCGAACCCCAGTTCATCACAAAGACTGCTCAATTCCTTAACCTCTGAGCATTGAGCCACCGTAACCCAAAAATGCAAGTAGATCACATTTAAAAGGAAGAAAAACAGATACTTGGAATAATTAAGGTAATGCTAAGCACCAGGAAAAGAACAATTAAATAATTCAGAGATTCCGCGAGATAAAAATATTTTTCAGATGATTCCTAGTTCTGTCTAAGAAAAACTGTTCGTTTCGTTTTCTTTCGGTAAATTTTGGCTCTCAACCAGAGAATGCTACCTGCATACGAGAAATCACCTGTTTCAGAGAATGTTACCCATATGTCGTAACTCTTTGACAAAGTAAGATGTAGGAAATCTGGTGCATCGTCCTGTATAACATTAGTACTGTAAATGGGTCCGGGATAGCCTGGCAGGTAAGGAATTGGGCCCATGTCCTAAAGGTCATCAGTTCGATCCAGTGCCAAAGACACCCCATGCCCAAAATGGTGACTGGTGCAAGCTAAATCTGTTGGGGTCACAAAGTCATCCTAGTTCCCATAACAAATTAAAACCTCTGGGGTACTGGATCGGAAATTGATCGTGCTCTGATTCAAGTCAAAATTACGATTTACGGATCGATGATGTGTGAATGCGCCCTCCCTGTAAAACGGGATGTGATGTATGTCTGTTGTCTCAGGATCTTTCTCAAGGAAGGATGTCTTCTAGACCGTCGCCAATAGCCCATTGTACAGCTCTAGTACGATGTATATAAGAGTACCGTACAGTATAGTACTGGTAATGCACCAGAACAAATATCTTACTATTGTAGAACCGGAAACGTACTGAATCCTGTGTCACAATTGAACACATCTGATTCTGTCTTATGAAACTCTGATTCTGGAAAAACAAAGAACGTAATATGATATCGGCTTGTAAAAAAAAAAAAAAAAACTTAGTGTGACACTGAATCCGAAAAGATACCGAAAACTGCCTTTTTTAAACCGGTATATTTTTTACGCTGTTAAGAAACTCTGTCCAATTCGGAATTAAATTGTGTACTAAAAGCAGGATGTTTTCGGTTTGTTACAAAAAGAATTCAGTATGATATTCAATTCGAAATGATAGCAGAACCGCTATCACACCGAATATAGTTTTCCATTAACCTTTATATATTTTTCACAGCTAAGAAGCTTTACCCAACTTGGAATTCAATTATAAACATCCAATTTAAGAACAGATAAAAATGTTTATTCACATATAAGTTTATTTTGCTTTTATAAGAAGTGTAACAAAATTAGCAATATTTAAACATAGCACTTATACATTTTGTTGACTCTTATTAAGTCAGATTTTGTCAGCTCCATTTTATAGTCGGCATCTAAAAGAACCACTCCTTTTTGTATAGGTACCATAGTATCCTTACCATTTTTGGAAAATGCTGTGCTGTCATAAATCATGATTGAGTGGTAATCAAACTTGGTATACAAGATTGCCTCACTTAATGGTATTATTCGAAAGTTGTGTTTTCTATCTGTAGATAAATAAATAAACAAAATAAGTAAATAAAATAAAATAAAATAAATAATCAATTATTTTCAAACCAGATAAAACTTCTTAATCGAATTGTTGGCTTCGCCAATTCTAAGTTATTATTAAATTGATTGTGAGAAATGTAACCCTTTGACGACTCTCTAAGATAAAACGATTGCTGACGACAATCTGCTGACGATTGGTGCAATATTGATTCTAGGAGGCGTATTAAGACATTTCAAAATAAAACACAATCCAAACATTATAACTACTTTATGCAATCCAAGACTGATCCAAACGTTTTGTATTTTCAACATAAATTGTTTATTGTTACATTTTAAAATGGTTACCCTCACTGAGGCCCAATTTTTGAGGGAATCAAGATTAAATTACACAGTCACAATAGTTCACTCATAAGAAAATATATTACTTAAATGAGCTCCTGCAAAATCATTATTTTATTTTTCTTATTTAAAGTTTTCAGAAATTAATGATTTATATTTTTAAACATTTCTGATCTTTTAAATACTTTTTTTTCAATTAACTAGATATCCTTATTTAGAATTTTTAGGTTTTTTATTTAATAGGTACAAATACACAAATACAATAGCCTACTCCTTAGAAAATGATACTTAAGGCAGAAAAAAAACATATGGTCTTAACATATTGGATAATAAACGGAAATGTTTTATCACTTTGTTCCAACCACTCCCTACGTAACAGAGAAATGGGGACACTTAGCATTTACTCGAGTGAATTTTGAAAACACCTCGTTATGAACATGATCATAAATTGCATAAAAGCTGCAGCTTGTAGAGAGAAACCGGTTGAAGATTTGAAATCCGAAATGCGAAAAAATCTGAGATTTGTTCAAAAATCTCAGAATTCAGATGAAATAAAATTTATGTATCTACAAAAATTCTACTAAATTTGAAAATAGGTCTTTTTGCGCTTATAAAGACGGAGCCCTCGATGAATTTTGCCCTGGGACCTGTAAAACTTTTTTTTCTTAACCTTAGATGTTATCTTCTTCCTCCGCTGCACTGCAGCTTGCGTGGGCCTATGATAGACTCTCATCAATGGGTTGGAGGTACACGCGGCCTTATCTGGTGAGAAAAAACTGTAATGACCAATAAGTAATTGCAGTTAAAAGAAGCAAAAGATAAAGATTGACATAGGAATATTATATATCAAAGCTTAACCCCGTCCCGCCCAAGGGGCATCAAGGGAATACTGCAGACTCAAAGTGCGCACACGTGATAACTCAGCAAGAGAAAAGAGGATTCACAAAGGTAGGATTGGTGAAGATCCATGGCAACACGTCGGAATTATGGGCATAAGAGGAAAAAGCAACTCCAGGGAAAGCACTGGGTGATGTAGGCTGGGCTCCGCTCGCACAGTGCTGCAACCTCACCAAGATCCAAAGATTCTCTCACCAGAAATTCGTAAAGAATTTAGTGAAATCTTAAAATTAACAAAAGTAATTGCTTAGTAAACGGAATTTAGGAGTTTGAGTGATCAGACATAACAGGCGAGGCTTCAAACAAAGAACAAAAGGTAGCAATCATATTGTAATGGTGAAAAGAGCTACAGTTTGCACGAAGCCAATGAGGAATATTATATATATATATATATATATATATATATATATATATACATACAGTGGTGGCCAAAAGTGTGGACACTTTTTGAAAATTTCATGTTTTTCAACTTTGTGTGCTTGTAGAATATATTAATTTTCACAAATACAAACTTTTATATATCAAATTGAAGTTAATTTTAATGTAGAATTTAATAATAAATACAGTATTACAATATCTGTATTACAAAAAAAGTTATGCAATTAATAGTAAGATCTATCTTAGATTTGCATTTTT